TCTATCGATCACTAGTCGATTACGAATTGATTTTCTGGAGTTCCCACTAATGTTCCCCAAGGGTCCATGTACCCCAAAAGTATACTTCAGTAGAGTCACCCACCAGTCGGCCGTTCATATCCTCTGCCAGGAATGTGTGGTAATATCTGAAGTTGTAGCCTCAGCTTGAATGCATATGATGAGGTAGGCATGCACACAACCCTAAACCCTAAACCCTAAACCCTAAACCCTAAACCCCAAAACCCTAAACCCTAAACGTACTACAGCTTGGACCCTTTGGGGACATCAGCTTGGCCACACTCCGTGGCGGCGAAGAACACCATTTCCTGAACTGCCTGGGCTGCATTGATTTGAAGTTGAGGGCTGAGTGTTTAGGGTTTGATTAACCCAAAGGGTCCAAGTATCATTAATTGTGGTATGTACTTAGACCCCCAAAATACCTTTAATTTTAAGTATATACTATTAATGATACTTGGACCCTTTGGGTTCGGGCATCGAAGTCCTCCTCCACCAGCTCCTCCGTCGACGCTTTGGGGAGGGTTTAGGGTTTAGGGATTAGGGCTCAGGGTTTAGAGTTTGGGGTTTAGGGATTAGGGTGTAGGGTTTAAGGCTGCAGTTTTAGGGTTTAGCAAATACACATTTGAAGTAAGCAGGCCAAAATGCGTGCAATTTTGGTCGCACGGGGAAGTACGGGAGACCGGCAGCTGCACACTGGGCAGCCAAACCAAGGTAGGCGGCAAGGCTTGCATCTGCAGCGTAGGAAATGGCTTGAATGTGGTTGTTCTCGAGATACCGTGGGGCAAGCTCCACATTGTTCATCAATTCCGACTGGTAGTGCCTCGAATAGGCTTGAGCTTTAGAGGGTGCACATGATGAATCGAACCGAATTTCCCAGAGGGTCCAATGTACCTATATAGTAGAATGTAGGGTTTCTAATAGACTAGGAATTGCTATTATGATTTGGAAGTATCCCCCATAGCAGTACATAGGACCTTTTGGGGTTTATAAAGTGTAGCATATCGATCAGATTATTATTTCAATGATCATTAGCCCAGTTTCATGCACTGGGCCAAAAGCACAAGCTCCTCGGTGTCACAGCCTTCCTGGTGAACAAGCTCGATCGCCGTATCCGCAAGCCAGCTCGTCACAACTCGGGCCTAGGCGCTAGCTCGATCTAGAGGGTTTAGGGTTTAGGGGTTTAGGGGTTAGGGTTTAGGGTTTAGGGTTTAGGGTTTAGGGTTAGAGCCTCTCACAACCCAAAACCCTTTTATTGTATACCCTTATTATAATAAAACCATCCAAGGCACATTGTACCCCTTGGCGGCCAGCTCCACTTCACCATCTTTCCCCCGGAGGTGCTTCGGTTGAAAGAGGGGCTGCGAATGCCTGATTTATGGCTCTAGATATCCCTAGGCCTATATAAATTATTCCCTAAACCCTAAACCCTAAACCGTAAACCCTAAACCCTATATAATATATAATAACAAGCCAGGGGTGCACAATCTTGCGTTCCCGGCACCAAGCCCGAAATGCAGCATAGGCAGATTTGAGCTGATCGGCTTTCGACACCCCAGGCCAAACGTCCTCCACAGGTCCATAGGTTTGCTCTAGGATTTAGGGTTTCGAGGGCGGGGCTTTATTAGAAGGGTTTAGGGCACCCCTTATTATAAGTTCAATAAAGGAAGAGAGTAAAAGAAGTCACATCCTGTTTGCACAGCAGCTCTAGGCATGCTCCACATGCCCACACCAGTGGCCCCAGGTTCAGCTGGTGTAGGGAGCACCATCTCACCATTGTCACGTGAAAGGCAGATATGCTCAAGATCCAACCTAGAAGGCTGCACCTATATGCTAGACTATCCACAAACCTCTAAACCCAAATCTGATAGCCGAGCATCTTGGATGCACACCCGCAGGCTGATTTGCACACTCAGTCACAAAGCTGCGCATGTCACGTCGAGGTTGATGCTGGAGCTGCGATGGCACATTCACATAATTCCCCTTCTGCGCGTAGCAGTGGTGGCAGATATGGCGGGCACCCCACCCACAACTCATCCCCAGCCATTCCTGGTTTAGGGTTATCGTTCGGGGTTAGATTTTAGGCCTTAGGATACGGTGTATTATTATATTTGTAGTACTATATGTTCATATTCCAATTTTAATTTGAAATGCCTTGTAGAACTTCCAGTCTCCACGCAATTCACAAAGCGGAAACCGGACCACCTCCCCATTGTCGACAACAAGTGGTTTGTTCATGAGCATTTCCGGCACACCTTCCCCTTCGCATGTACCATCGGCATTCAGGATGGGCCGCGCTGGCGTGAAGCCGAAGATGGCAGCATTGAGCGATGTGACTACCTTGCATTGGTCGTGAGGTCAGGGCTAGCTGTAGCATTAAGGGGTACGATGTAACTAGGCAACATATACTAAACACAGTCCCATGCCAGAGTGCCGGCTTCATGAATGCTTGGAGGGTTTTGAAGCCCAGGCTGAAGACCTTTACAGGGTTTTGGGGCTCATTGCTGTTAGAAATTACATTAGTGGGATTTCTATTTTCGGTCTTAAGCAAAGCACAAGCCTCCCTGACGATGAATATCGGGAAGTGGGTCCGCATTGCTAGGCCCTTCTTGTCGGCTAAGATGAAGCCTAGGTAGATGCAGGTCAACTTCTCCTGCCGGTTGTACTTCACATCGTCGCCGTAGAGGAACGTCGGGATGGAAGTTTCTGGGTATTGGCTGCATGGGTGGGATGCAGCCCACTCAGTGTGTTTGGCCATGTGGGTCCAATACTGACGGTTGGCCTCCCTGTCCAATGCATCTGTCGACATCCCCCTTTCATGAAGATACTGAAGCAAATGATGTGGGAGGACAACAGGTAGGCGCCTATATATTGCAACAGCACCCCAAATCCTAGCACCTAAACCCTAAGTATAGGTACCTATAAGCTAGGACCCTTTGGGTTAAGTTCCCTAAACCCTAAGTATAGGTACCTATATAGCTAGGACCCTTTGGGTTGTTCAAGCGGCCGTTGGATCACTGTGTCATCCGTTACCGATGTGCGCATGGGCACCT